CTCTTCTTTTGTTCCTCCTCCTGTGCCCTTTTTTTCTGTTGTTCCTCCTCCTGCGCTCGCTTCTGCTTTTGTTCCTCCTCCTGCGCTTGCTTCTGCTTTTGCTCCTCCTGCTGTGGCTGCTGGCCCTTGCCACCGTCCTTGGCCTTGCCATCCTTGCCCTTTTTGCCAGCATCCTTGCCACCTTTTTGGCCAGGCTGGCCCTTGCCTTTTCCTCCGACCGCTGGGCCGTCCTGCCCGTAAAACCATATGTGATGCTCACCTGGGCCGGGTTGAAACACACTTACACAGACATAGGGGTGCTGTGCGACCTCATGCCTAAATGCAAAGTCGAGGCACACAGCTGCTCCATTCTCTCCCTGACGTAGGTCGATATTATCTTCGAGACGTCCTGGTAAATGTGCGACTGGTCGTAGTCGAGGAATTGTCCTCAGGGAATCGAAAGAATAGACCCTAGCAAGCCACCCAACCCCCAGTGCAGACAAGGCTCTCACCAACTTGTACGTCAAAGCATGAGCATCCCCGTTGGAGGACGGATGCGATATCAAGGATAAGATGTTCTTAGTCAAATCCAACTTCAAGGGGTGAACATACTATGACTCAACAGCTCTCCTGGATAAACCAATGCCGAGCGTCGATCCATCCTGAAACATCAACATCCAGCTTGACGAGGCAAGCATAAAGGTCTGGCGCCACCGCCCGTATTTTGGCCGACACCTTGGCTTCCGGGAACCACAACCAGAAGCTCGCGAAACGGCTGAATATTCGTAATGAAGCCTGGCCACGACCCAAACTGCATCATTCCACATGGCTTCGGTGAGCCGGGTCCGAGGGTCGCCCGAATTTCTCGGACGATACAAGACCATGTTCGGAGTCTGCGGCGAAACGTACGAAGTCGCCATGGCAGAATTTTTGAAATGCCTAGGTCTGACCTTAGATGCTGAAATTCCTCTGACCTGGAGACATGAGCACCTTTTGCAGCAGGCCTCGTTGTCCAGCAGCCCGGTTAGAGCACCTACTACACCGACCGGATGGCCTATGAGAGGAGCCTGAAATTGGATGCTGAAACTCCTGTCTGACCTTTTCTGACCTGGCCTGGGTATGTGAGCACCTACGATTGGGCGGGGCCTGGGCATGCATGAGCTGGCGCTGCCTCTTGAGACCACCGACCGGTCTTGAGTACAGAACAGCAGAATTCGTTCAACCACTGCTCCGGGCACAAGTCAAGCTCCAGCCAGCTCAAGTGCATAAAGTCAGCAGCAAAGGCAGTCACATGCGGGGCGGGCCTTGCACCACGGTGCCTCCAATAAGAACCGGAGGGCGGATGTCTGACCTGCATCAGCAGTAGCCACTTAAAGAATCAACGACTAACCTTGAACCTGGATCGGCCTTTGACCTGGATCTTCTCGATGTGCACCGACCTGCCAAATTCAAGCAAAACTGTAAACCAGATCATGATGAGAATCGTCGCCTCTTCGGCCCAACCAGCTGAACACTTCTGACATGCAGCCCGGAGCCAGTCACAAAATGGCCCACAATCCTTTAACTCCAGTCGGCCTCTGACCGGCGAACGTCATGATGTAGACACACCTGCAAGAAAGAGCAGCCTACGGTACAAACCAGAACCGAATCGACCGGACCTCCAACCAGCTGAAGATGTCTGACCTGCGGCAGGAGCCATCACAAACTGCAGAACAGCTTAGGGCATAGGGCTGCGGACAGAATCCGTCCGCAGGATTTCGGAGCCCCCCAAACCCCGCTGATGCTCATGATGCTCGCTCGCAGGGTCCCACAGGGCTGCGGACAGAATCCGTCCGCAGGATTTTGGAGCCCCCCAAACCCCGCTGATGCTCATGATGCTCGCTCGTAGGGCCCCACAGGGCTGCGGACAGAATCCGTCCGCAGGATTTCGGAGCCCCCCAAACGCCGCTGATGCTCATGATGCTCGCTCGTAGGGTCCCACAGGGCTTCGGACAGGGTTTAGGGATTGGGGTTTAGGGTTTAAACCACTAACTAACCACAAAGGCTGGCCTCGGGCCAGCCATGGCCAGCTCATCACCAGCACCTGTGACAGGAATGGGGAACCCTCGAAGGCGGAGATTCTGATAGCTGAACCTGCCTCGGCAGTTGTGTCAAGGCCATGCCAATGGCCAGGATGCCAGGACCTGGCACAATCTAGTCTCAAAAGTTTGCAACCTTTGCAAAAACCATGCATCCATCTGGAATCCTCATTCTCGAATCCTGAAAATTGCTATGCCCTTATTCTCCTAAATTCGGCATGGCCTCTGCATCAGCCCCGTCTGTCGCCATCCATGAAGGTCAGGCCTCAGGCAGGGGGATTGTTTCAATCAGGTTTGGGCCATGTGGTTCGGCTTGCTGAATGTGAGTGTGGTTAGAGTGGGTGCTCGAGGAAAAGAGTAATAGAGTTTGGGTTTAAAGTGTTTCGGAGGCTTGGTCAGTAAGGGCTTTCAATTTGGGGTTCAGTAAGGGTTCAGGGGTGACCCAGCATCGATATTTGTTGATACACTATGTTCTACTACAACACATACAACAGCATGAAAGGGGCTCGCCCCGAAATCCAGAACTTCCCAAAGCAATAACATTCATCTGATGCCTCAACTAGCGGGATTCCCTTTTTTAGTCATCCCCAAACCAGCGAACCAGTCCTTGCGCAGGACTGGTCACGGGGGCCTCGAGGCTTGGTCTTGCACAGACCTGAAAACGATCTAGCGCAGGGATCAAAGGACCCAGTGGACATCGGTGGACCAGCACAGCATCGCCATGATGAAGACGATGATGGCCGCTCCAGGGGGTTTGAATGGGAATTAGGGGTTTTGTAAGGGTCTTACAGGATGTTACAAGAATATATAGATAAATCATGGTTTAAGGTTTGCGTAGGGCATACAGATTTATGTGTTTATCCAGATTTAACATTAGGCCCTGAATCAACCGGGACCCAGAACACCCTTTGGACCGTAGTAAACCATAGACTCTAAACCATAAGCCCCTGAAGATTATCACAACCGCATTCTCAGGTCCCGGCTCAGCATGGCGATGAAGATGTCGTCGAGGAGTGTGGGCGGGGGGCTTTGGGCAGGCTAGAGGTCTAGCAACTTCGGGTACAAGATGTAACATGTCACTACTTCCGACCTCCTACCTGAGCAAAACTAACTACGGGTTCGGCCGAACTACACCTCATATCCCACAAAGCAATGGATAATAAGCTCGAAACTCTGAGCATATAATACCACTTATATAATGTTAATTCGGCCAGCAAAATTAGCCATCAAATGTGATAAACGAAAGTGCTTAAAGCGTATCTTTTGGCTAACCCTGAATAATATAGTACCCAAAATAGTAGGATCCTAATTATAAGAACCCCAAAACAAGGTACCCCTAATTTTCGGAAACTCCCACTTAGGTTTAGCCCTTCTGGCTTCTGGGGAGAGAAGCGCCGAGAAGATGCATGATCAAGAGCGATGTGGGCACTTACCAACCCGATATGCCAAAGCCTAAACTCTGCATAGAGCGTTCTGGAGACTCAACCCGCCTGTTGGGAGATCCAGATCTCCGAATAAGTAAACGGTAATGGCAAATAAAGGACGGATAAACAAATATACACATGAAAGATTTGCATTTGGCCAAAGAGGCTTCCAGATTTTGTGGCTCTGCTAGAGGTATATAAGAAGGTCCGTAAACCCTACACCCGAAACAGCAGACTTGGGTTGAAGAAGGCTCTTGGAGTGGAGAGTTTGGGTTTCGGGTGACTTGCCCATATCCGGCCGCCCTGCTTTAGCGGCGCTTTCTTCTTATTACCATTACCATTATTATTCCTGATGCTATGATGATTGTGAACGTTCTTCAGGAGTCTTGGGAATATCGCTATTATTACGAATGTTGTTATTCTTATAATTGGTAGTAGCAGTAGTCGTACCAGCAGTCGTAGTAGTAGTCGTAGTAGTAGTAGTAGTCGTCGTCGTAGCAGCAGTAGTAGTAGTCGCAGCAGCAGCAGCAGCAGCAGTGGTAGTAGTAGTAGTAGTAGTAGCAGCAGTAGTAGTAGTAGTAGCAGTAGTAGCAGCAGCAGTCGGAGTAGTAGTAGTAGTAGTAGTAGTAGTAGTAGTAGTAGTAGTAGTAGTAGTTGTGATAGTAGTAGTAGTAGTAGTAGTAGTAGTAGTAGTAGTAGTAGTCGTGGTAGTAGTAGTAGTAGTAGTAGTAGTAGTAGTAGTAGTAGTAGTAGTAGTAGTAGTAGTAGTAGTAGTAGTAGTAGTAGTAGTAGTAGTAGTAGTAGTAGTAGTAGTAGTAGTAGTAGTAGTAGTAGTAGTAGTAGTAGTACGTAGTAGTAGTAGTAGTAGTAGTAGTAGTAGTAGTAGTAGTAGTAGTAGTAGTAGTAGTAGTAGTAGTAGTAGTAGTAGTAGTAGTAGTAGTAGTAGCAGCAGTAGTAGTAGTAGTAGTAGTAGTAGTAGTGGTAGTAGTAGTGGTAGTAGTAGCAGTAGTTTAGTGGTAGTAGTAGTGTTATTGTTGACATGCTTCTTAGTACTACAAGTGTTACTACTGCTCTTTAGAAGGACGCTTTATGATTGTTCTGAATCTTCTTCTTACTCACGTTCTTTTTCGACATTTAGTCTCCTCGTTATTCTTCTTATTATTACTCCTACTGCCGTTCCTACTTACATTGCTAGTGTTCTTGTTGTTATTCCAACTATGATTTTTGTTCCTTTTACTATTACTGTGGTCATTATTGCGGCTGTGATTATTGCTATTGTTCCAATGTTATTATTCGGTATTTTTACTATCATTATGACTACTACTACTGTCATCAGACTAATTCTTATTATTCTTACTCTTACTACTTTATTGTTACTATTGGCGATGTCAATAATATTCTCGACGGTGTCCTTGTTCATACTAACTATTATTTCCATGCTGAGACCTGTTATACAAGGTTGTAGAATTCTTAAGCAATGTTACTATCCCAACTTCCGAATCGCAGACCGGGAAGATTCCTGGCCGCGCTGCGGCTGCGAGGGCTGACGAGGTGCCTGCGTCTGCTCCTTCTGCCGCTGCCTTCCGCACAGCTAGGCTCGTGGGTTTAGAGTTTAAGGTCTTGGCGGCTACTGTTAAAGTTTAATGTTTAAGATTCAGGGCGTAGGGTTTTTCGATTTAGGGTTCTGAACGGACTTGCGGTCTAAACGGAGGGGCGGGGATCTGCCAAAGTCTTCCGACGACACACACACACACACACACACCTGCAGCTGGGAAAACAGGCGCACGCACACACAGAAACAGGCAGGTACTCACATGAGTCACGTACACGTGTGCCAACACACACACACAGATACTTCAAACAAACAGACAGGAGAGAGAGAGAGAGAGGGAGAGTGAGAGCGAGAGCAAGAGAGATAGAGAAACAAGCAGAGGAGACAACGAGCGCACACACGCACGCAAGCACATGTACTTGCAAATACAAATGGTTACACCAGTACGGAACTATGTGTGTGTGTGTGTCAAACATGTCTGCATGCCCTATAGTTTTGTAGTAGCACCAGCACAAGTACATATTCTTATGCCGCTGCATGCCCACGCATGTATGTACATGAGCAGAATGCTTGTGTTAGCGTCCATAGGCATGCAAAGACTTGTGTGCATAAAACACACATGCATGTCCCTGTGCTTGATCAAGTATAAATAACAATGAAACGCGCAGCTATAACTCTCCAAAACATAGCTCACTACTCCTACAAGTAAACATCCTACACCCGAAAACTCACAAACGCCTAAATCAGACACGCGAAACTCCTGAACCCGGATGCCAAAGACTCCCAAGTCCTACAAGGCCGATACCTGAAACTGCTCAATCCAAATCCGTGCACAGCAGCTGCATGTGGTGTTTTTGATGCGAAATGGTTGGGGGGGGGGGGGGCGAGCGTTCATGAGAAATCCCTGGTTTTCTAAGTGTTACATGTATACATGTATCAGCACTGGGGAGGAGGCTTTCAAATGTGTAAGCGCCACATACCTACACCAAATATGTGTACATGATTGCACATGTGTGTGTGTGTGTGTGCGCTTGTCTAAATCCAAACTCGAATGCAATATAGATATATGCTATAAACGTAAACTCGGAATACCACTTTTGGAAGATACATGTACGAGTTCATGCATATTGTACATCTATACATTTCTTTTTCTAGGTATCTGTGTCTGTCTCTTTCTACCTATGCTCATGATGACATGTGAACTGATGTTTGTACAATCGTTTGTTCATAACCATATGTCGATACATGCATACTAGGGTTGTGGAAAGTTCGGTGTATTTTGGGGTTCAGGCTTGTAGGTCTCATGCGAGCAAGTCTCCGCTGTTGCTTCAAGATCTCGGCTTTCCGCTGGATCTCTTGCCTTGGCGTTTATAGTTTAGGGTTTAGGGTTCAGCGAAATCCCCCAACCGAGCTAGTGAGAGTCGGATGAAAGGACCAGGAGGTTAGGGTGCAGGCTTCAGGAAGCGTTTAGGATTGTGAGTACAGTCGAGGATCTTTTCCTTGAGACAGAAGTTTCATCTCAATGCCATAATCAAGGATTTTGAAATTATGTTTTTTAACGGCAGGGGTATGTATACATGTATATAAATGTACGAATATGAGAACAGAAGGGAAAGAACACGAATACATAAATCAACAAATGAATATGTATGTACGAACTGCATGCCGATGTATTTACATATATATATATATATATATGTAAATACACTGTCAAGCATATAGATATGTATATACATATATGCACATATGTATGTACATATGTGTATGTATGTGTGTGTATGTATATATATATATACAAATGTTTAACTGTTCATTTATTTGTCATAAAGCCGTAACTGAAGCCACAAAAGACCCCGAGCCGCTGAACCTAAACCCCAGTCATAAAGCCCTGCAGACCTCCAGTTAGGGTTCGGGAATGTTTATTGTTGAGGGTTCAAGGCTTTCGGTTCATCGCCACGCCTTCGTAACCCCTAAGCCGCAAACCTGCAGCTCGCCCTTATCTACGACTTTAGTGTTTGGGACCGTGTTGCGGAAGGCGTTTGAGACTCTGTCACTTGACTCTTCAGCTTCAGGGCTTGAACCCGGAGCCTCCAAAACCTGTTAGTTGTACATTTCAAATAATATTAATAGGGATCCCTCTTATAATTTAGGATATAATTATTCCTTAATTGAGGGCTTTCGGAGTCTCTGGGAAGCTTCTTGGAGTTTAGCGCTTGAGGTCCTCGGTCTAAGGCTCTGGGATTGAACAGGGTTCAGACCCCAGGCCGCAAGCCGTGGCTTTGGTTAGCAGGGAATGGAGGAATGGGGTACAATTAGAACTACTATTACTACCATTCTTCCATTCCCTACTAACCGGCGGGGGTTTTTTTTTTTCGAAGGTGCGGCCAACCCTCTTTTTTCGGAGGTGCGGCCAAGGATTTGTTCAGGTTGGACACCCAGGATCCTTGTAGAGGGTTCATCGGCGATGTAAAGAATTTGCGCCCCACCACAGCGCCAGCGCTTCGACACGCAGAATCCTTGTAGAGGGTTCATCGGGGTCGTAGAGAATTTGCGCCGCACCACAGCGCCAGCGCTTGGAGGCGCAGGATCCCTGTGGAGGGTTCATCGGCGATGTAAAGAATTTGCGCCCCACCACAGCGCCGGCGCTTCGACACGCAGAATCCTTGTAGAGGGTTCATCGGGGTCGTAGAGAATTTGCGCCGCACCACAGCGCCAGCGCTTGGAGGCGCAGGATCCCTGTGGAGGGTTCATCGGGGACGTAGAAAATTTGCACCGCACCACAGAGCCAACGCTTCGAGGGGCAGGATCCCTGTGGAGGGTTCATCGGGGACGTAGAAAATTTGCACCGCACCACAGAGCCAACGCTTCGAGGGGCAGGATCCCTGTGGAGGGTTCATCGGGGACGTAGACAATTGGCGCCGCACCACAGCGCCAGCGCTTCGAAGCGCAGGATCCCTGGGTGAAGCATCAAAAAAAACTAATCATCAACAACAAATGAAATCCAGGGATCAACAAAAAACTGATTTAAAAAAAAGAGCATCACAAACAAATTAAATTATAGGAAATGAAGCCATTTCCAAAACTATTTGCCTTGGTGGCGGTGGTGGTGTCGTTGATGTCGTTGCTGTCGTCGTTGGTGGTGGTGGTGTCGTTGATGTCGTCGTGTTGTTGCTGCTCTTCGCGTTAAACCCCCTGGAGCCTGGCTGTCTGGCTTCCCCTTCTTGTGTGTTGCCGAATACGTGTATGTTCATTTCTTCGCGGGCTTACAGAGCAGGGAGTTAATTTAGTCTGAAAAAAGCGGGGGGGTTGGGGGGGGCGCAGCCCCCCCCGTTTGCAATCCTTTTAAATCCTTCAGGATTGATTTTGTCTTCTTTGCGTTAAACCCCCCTGAAGCATTATTGTCTGGCTTCCCCTTCTTGTGTGTTGGCGGATACGTTTTTGTGCATTTTCCGTGGCTTTAGAGAGCGGGGAGTTTAGTCTAAAAAAAGCCGGGGGGTTGGGGGGGGCGCAGCCCCCCCCATTTGCAAACCTTTTAAATCCTTCAGGATTGATTTGGTCTTCTTCGCGTTAAAACCCCCTGAAGCATTGTTGTCTGGCTTCATTTTTTTTGTGTTGACGAACACGGTTTTATTTATTTCGTAGCAAACGACCGGCTGGCAAACACGTTATTGTTGATTACTTCGTGGCTCAAGAGAGCTTCCAAGTCATTCATGATTGATTGTGTTGCTTCGCGTGTAACCCCGCTGAAACAACAACCCAAGAAAATCCGTGTTGTGAATCTGGGTTCCGAACCTGAATTTCCAACCGTCTGTCTTACTTCTTTTCTTTCTTTCTGTTCTTCTTCCTTGCTTTGGTCCTTGTTCTGGGTTGTTTCGTTCTGTCTTCCTGGGTTCTTTTCGTTTCAGGTGGAAAAACCAAGAAAAGCACACCAAATCCGTCCAAAACGTGAGGAAAATAGTGTTTTCCCCAGGAAAACCATGGAAAAACACCAAACAAAAAAAAACAACAACAAGATCCAAAATAATGGGCCCTCCATATGTATGTATATATATATATACACACACACACACACACTCTCTCTCTCTCTCTCTCTCTCTCTCTCTCTGTATGTATGTATATATATATATATATATACACTATATATATATATATATACACTATACTTACTATATATGCTATATATACTATATATACTATATATACTATATATACTATATATACTATATATACTATATATACTATATATAGTATATATATATATGCTGTATATACTGTATGTACTATATCTACTATATATATATATATATATACCATATATACAATCTGTATATAACATATATATATATATATATATACTATATCTACTATATCTACTATATTCACTATATCTACTATATCTCTTATATCTACTATATCTCTTATAACTACTATATTTACCATATCTACTATATTTACTATATATGCTATATCTACTGTATATACTATATAAAATAATATATACTACAGAAACAATATAAACTGTATATACTAATACTATATCTACTTAATCTACTACATATACTATACATATATACTCTATATATATATATATATATATACATATATACATACTGTATATATTATGTACACTATATATATACTATATATACTTTATACATTATATATACTATATATACTGTAGATAAAAATATACAATATAAACTCTATATACTATATATATATACTACATATATATATATACTACATATATATATATGCATATACTATATGAATATATATTATATATACACATGTTATATGTATATACTGTACATACTATATCTAGTATACATACTATATATACTACATGTACTATGTATACTATGTATACATATATATATATATATATATATGTATATGTGTTTTTTACTTTATATACTGATGTACTACCGTCCTTCCTTTCTTCCTTCTTTCTTTCCTTCCTTGCTTCCTTCCTTCCTTCCTTCGTTCCTTTCCTTCCTTCCTTCCTTGTTTCCTTGCTTTCTTCCTTGCTTTCTTCCTTCCCTGTGTAAATAACAGGACGTGGAAGCAAAAAAGAGGACCGAAAAAAAGGACGCAAACAAAAACGGATTCCCGTTCTTGTTTCTCTTTCATTCCTTGCTAGCTCCTCTGCTTTCTTGCTTTCTTTTGTGCTTTCTTCCTGGCTTTCTTTCCTTCATCATCTTTCTTCTGGTTTTCTTACTTCTGAAATTTTGCTTTATTTTTGTTATTCCTTGTTTGCTTTCTTGTTGCTTTTGCGGGACCGAGGGACCGGCGGACCGCAGGACCAGGAGACCACGGCACCAGGAGACCACGGGACCAGAGGACCAGCAGACCAGAGGACCAGGCAACCACAGGACCAAGGACCAGAAAACTAGGGGACCGCATGCACGGACACCACAGGACCAGAGGACCAGCAGACCGGAGGACCAGGGGACCACAGGACCCAGGACCAGAGGACTAGGGGACCGCATGCACCAGGGACCCTTGGCCGCACCTCGCAAACAAGGGTTGGCCGCACCTTCGAAAAAAAAACCCATGGCCCCTACTAACCAAAGGTGAGAAGCCTGGAACTTGAAACCCCAAAGTCTCACATCTGGAATCCAAAACCTTACGTGACAGGGTTAGGACTTTAGGATTCAGCATTCAGGGTTTAGGCGGTTTAGGGTTTAGTAAGGATTCAGCATTCAAGGTTTAGGGTTGGGGGCTTAGGCCCAAAAATCCTTCGCCGTGCGGCAGCTGCCTTTGCTGCTCTTCCCGCACGCTGCGGCGTCCGGGCGCTGCTTTTAGCACTCCGGGGTCCTCGCGCCCGGGCTCAGGACTCTTCTCTCTAGGGCTTGTTTTAACCAATAATGTGCCCATGGACCATAGATATAGCTCCTGTAGGCTATCTTTCGGATTAGTAGGATTCTTGATGCGTTCAGGTATGAGGGAGTCATGAGCAAGGAATAGGTATCAGGTTAAGGGCTCGCTACTTCTAACGAGTTCGACGTCGGGTCTTCGACATGGGCTGAGGCGGTTCAGGATTCCAGCAGCAGGGAGGCTAGTTAGGGGTTAAAGTCGAGGCTTCATGGGTTGAAGGTTGAGGTTTAGGGTTTAGGGTTTCTGAAGTCTGTTTGATTTTGGAGTTTCTGTGTTTACCGATCACAGCATTGTGGGTTGTGTCGGTGGTAGCCGATGTTACAAGAGTGTAAGGGTTTCTGTCGAATCTGTTGCCGGGCATGGCATCAGGCATCACCGCCACCTACCTGTAGTTGGGGTTCAGGCTGGAGTGGAGGGTTGAGTAGGGTTCATGGTGTAGGAATGTTTCTCCGAACAAAAGACAAAACCTGGGTTCTTGTCAAGAAGCCTAATTTAAGTTATCATAACAGGGATCTATGATACATGATTAAAAATATGGTTTCCTTATTCTGGTGGCTTGAACTAAAGCCTCAGAAACAGACTCCTCTGCTTCTGTGTGCGGAGGAGCCTTCTCTTTGGTTGCCGGACCTGCCGTAGTCGACAAGAAACAGCTTTATAGGGTTTCGGCTAGGCTTTTTTGGGGTTTAGGGGTATTTGGGTTGCGAGGCCCAACTCTTCATCAACCCTAAACCCTGAACCGGGCTACTGTGGTAGACCAGGTTAACACTCGGTCGCTGGAAGGTTGGGGCTCTGGGAACTTTTCGCTGTTTTGAGCTTCACTAGGCCTTGGAGGGCTTTATGGGTTTGGGGTTTAGGGTGAACGCGCAAGGTCTGAATGGTCTGCTGAGGTTGAGAACACATCATGACATTGAGTCGCGCAATATTTCCGGATTTCCAAGTATCTGCCACTCCCAAATACCCGAATGCCCACCTACCCCCGGTGCACTCACATGCCCGACAAACAACAACCTGGCACAATCCAAAACAACATCGCCCACCCGAAGTCATCAAGCCATCAAGATCGGCTCACAGTTCATTAGACTCTTACGGGGTCTCGATGCGGTACCTCTGCCTGCAAACGGCTATCTAGGCAGCGATTGAAGGCTCTGGAGTTGGGGCATCTCGCTCACGTTTTCTCTTGAGGGTTTGGGGGGCCGGTCTTTATTCGAGGTTATATTATAAGGCCTCAAAGCTGAAACGGTCGCAAGCGCCGAAATGCGAAGCCCAAAAATTTCACTTCCTGAAACTTCCCAAAGCGAGCATCAACCTGTCCCAAAAGCCTGTCTAGCATAGGAGCCGGAACAATTAGAATAGGGTTTGGGGGTAGATTATACTACAATCATACTCAGGAACACCAATTCTAATTATGAAGGCCCCTGCACTATCTCCTTATCCACCTACTATCTAAAAGTTAGTGTATATATAATCAGTTCTTACTTCACGGTTACCCATTGAAACCAACATCAAGAGATCAAACTTCGGAATAATCCTGAACTGCAAGAGCCAATAAACTCTAAGACTCTATGATGTAGAAGTCATACTCTGCTTGTGCGCAGGCATGCTACGAATACAAAGCCGTAACTAGCCCTTGAAGCAAATGCACCACTTTACGTCTTGTTACGGTGCCTTGGCCCTCTCTACAGGCATGGTATAGCCAACATCAGGTAGGTAGTACTGTCTTCGGGAATTCTTTATTCAACCTCTTCGAACCATAGTATCCGAACTCATGATATAAACACCCCGTGAATGACAAGGATACGTGTATCAAAAACCCACCAAAAAACAAAAAAAAATATGGTAACTCAAAAATCCAGGCGGAACCCATAGTTCATTAACCTATCCCTGAACCCTGAACCCTGACTGGGCTGCCGGTTCCATGTACGGGCCGAAATAAAATATTAACACTCTATTGCAGTTCCTCGTTCAATATACCCCAAAACCCCTGTTTCAAATCAGGCCCCCATATTGCAGCGACCAGACGGTCGCATCGTAAACTCTAAACCCGAAACCCTAAACCCCAAAACCCCTAAACCTTAAACCCCAAAACCCTAAACCCTAAACCCCAAAACCCCAAAACCCGTAAACCCCAGAACCCTAGCGGGTTGCTCACAGCCTCGTCCTCTGCAACTCTCCGGGCACGCCGCCATCATGAAGGCGGAATTGGCCTGAAAAGGCTACCGGGTTTAGAACGGGTTCAGCGCGGTTTAGGGTTTAGGGTTTCCAGGCTACCGGGCTCAGAAAGGGTTCAGGATGTTGGGTTCAGGGTGCTGCAGGGGCCTTAGAAATTAGAATAGGGTTCCCTTTGAAGGTTTACCTAAAGGGGTCTAGAAGGCCATGGCAGGGTTCTACGATGCAGGGGCCTTAATAGTTAGAATGGGTTGGTTGGTTGGTTATCAGTCCAGATGGACAGCTTGTGGGCACAAGCGAAGATGCTGTCTGGCAGGGGCCCAATACGTAAGTAAGGCCAGCCATTCCCTGCACCGCAGTACTAGGGCGAGGCTCCCTTCACGTGACCTGCAAGCATTTGGGAGTTTCCGAAAACTAGGGGTACCTTATTATGGGGCCCTTATAATAGGGATCCTACTATTTAGGGTACTATATGAGGGTTTTATGTATTTTCGGAAACTCCCATTTCTGACATCTTCCACCCCCAGAAGTGCTCTGCTCGCACACCGATGTCCTCAGCTAGCTGTACCACTTTGGGGTGAGCGTCGTGGCTGATCGATGTTGCCAGCAGGCGCAGGCTAGAAAAGTCTGCTCCCAAGGCTAGACCTTCTTGCCGCAGCACATCAAAGCAATGGCAGGAGCAGACAGGGTTTTGGGGCCCACTATACTATACTCAGAATAAGGAATCCCCAAACTAATATTCGTAATTTGCTCTGGGCCCCTAAAATAGCAGGTTGGGGTTGAGGGTTTAGGATTTCAGGGCATGCGGACTTCAGAGTTAAGGTTTTAGGGTTTGGGCTAGGGCCTGGGTTCTGATTTTTTAAGGTTTTCGAAACCAACTTAGGACCTGGACAGTACGAATCGCTCAGGGACGTCATCCCGAAATCCACCACACACACAAAAAAAAGCTCCATACTCAGACCGTTCGGAGCGCCGTGACCCTTGGGGCTTCAAGGGAGCTGCGGTTGATTTTTCACGATGCCCGCAAGCCTAAACAACTCAGAAACTCCACAACCCCTGAGCTCACCGCTCCTCCCTAAGTTCTATTCTGGGTCCCCGGAGCTTCTGCGTTCCTTATGACGCCCTACCGAAACCTGTTGCAATAGTAGTAAAAATCCCTTCAAGATAAGGGATCCCCTGCAAATGAAAAATGGCAAACCCTAAACCTTACACCCTGAACTTCTCTATCCTATGTAAACCCTATGCCAGCCCAAGAGAGAAGAGCCGTTAGGTTCTGAGAGTTGCCCCTAAACCCTAAGCCCTAAACGGTTTTTCGGTTCACGGTGTAGCCGGATCTGTGGATTTGGGATTTTGCAAGTCCCCGACGTCGACGAATCCGCCCTTTGATTTCCTTGTTCATTCCGTTGCAGTTGGACTGCAAGTGGCTTGAAGCCCAGTAGGATAAGCTTGGGTTTAGGGTTTAGGGGTTTAGGGTCTGTGTGCAGGATAACCGACTTGGTAAGTTGGTTATAAGTAGGCCTACGAGTACAGTAGGCCCGACTGTTTCCTGCACTTGCAGCATATGGGGTTCAGCAGGGGCGGGGGCAGGCTTACCCCAGGAGAGAAGCGGAAAGTCACGCACGAGAAACGACAAAGTAGATCGCCTTGAAAACCTGAAGTTCCTAAACCCTAGACCCTGAAGCCTTAACCTAGGGTTCCTAAACCCTGCGCTCTGCACTCGGCACCTCAAGCGCTGCGCTAAACACGAAAGCCTTGAACCCAAGCCCTACCATGAACCTCCACCGGATGGCACTGGATATCTACTACCAACCCTGAACCGGTTTCAGGTTTGGGGGATTGGGGTTTTAAGTTTTGGTGCTGACTTGAACGACAACAACAACTTCAACTTTCCTGGCAGGTGGATACCTCGCACTCACCAACTTCTGCCCAGGAAGCGCAATGGGCCTCGCAGCACATCCGAAAACGGTCATGGGCTTGGGCGTATGCTTGGTAAAAGTAATTCTTCAAGCGTATACCTGAATAGGGTCCTCATTCCAGTGCAAGGCAGATGGGTAATAAGCTTCCTAAATTAATGTCCCCCCCCCTGCACGGAAATATTCGTTTGACCCGAGAAAGGACCCCAGTTTAGGCAAGCATGTCAAGTGTCCGCAAGCCTTAAGCCCCAACTGATATTCCTGGATTGTGATTTCGGTAACTTCCCGAGTGAGGATCATGAAGGTAGAGCTACTTCGATCCCGTTTTCTGTGAGCTTAATGAACCTGCTCCTCTTCGCATAGTGCTGTTGAAGCCTGGGGTTCGGGCTTGATTGAGGCTTCAAAACTAGATCCAAGGTCCATCACCCAGACATGACATGCGACGCTAGGCTCGGCTAGTCTTCGCTGTTCTGCTACGCTATGCGATGCTATGCAGTGCTAAGCTAGCAAGGCTGAGCTGGGCTGCACCGAGCGATTCTAGGCTAGGCTTCGCTATGCCCTCATGATATGGTATGATATGACAGGCACTAGATGGTATGATAAGATATGGTATGGAATGGTGTGGTAGGATATGACGTACGGATCTAGCGCAAATGATACATTACTGTATGGTCTGATAGTGTGATGAGATACAAGATTGCGATTTTTATATGTGTTGCCTGTCGTACGATACATGATACTTGCTGTTAATGTAGATGTGTAAACAACCTTTGCTTAGGCTTGTTTGCGCTGGGGGTTCGGGCGTCGGGTTTAAGAGATCTGAGCATCAGTCTTGAGACCCGGGAAGCGGCGTTCAAAGTTCGTTCGAGGTCTTGTGGCTCAGTTACCGTTTCGGTCTATCTTGTGCGTGGCTTTGCTAATACGTGTGCGTGTAGGTCTATCTGTCCGTTTTTGCTGAAGGGGGGGTGGCCCAGGCGGAGAAGGGCTTCGGCTTTTGCCTACCAACTGCAGTTGCTGGATCCTGGCCAACTGATAAACTCAACAAAGTACCCTTAGCTGTGGCTACCATGTCCAGCGACCACCATTATGGAAACAACCTTGCCTGATCAAGGACTTTGGAGGTCTCCAGGGACTGCAGTTCGAAGTGTGTGTGTGTGTGTTAAAGGCAATGGGATCCAGAACTCCACTAAACAAATCGTCCCTTCACATGCCAAAAACAACACCCGAAACAATCTGAGCCATAGACACCCGAAGCATCAATGTAAAATCCCAAAGCCGCCGCTTAAATATACCAAGGTACACGCTAAGTCTCAACACACTCCGAAGAATCGAAAAAACCTCCCCAGATCCTCACCATGAATCCTGGACTCCAGAAACTCCAAACCCAAACCGCCAAACCCTATCCCTAAACCCAAACCAAACCAGCCCCAGACCCTAAACCCCTAAACCACATAGATCCCTTATAGAACCCTCATGGATCTCTTTAAAGGAACCCTAAACCCCTAAACCCTAAACTCCTAGACCCTAAACCCCTAAACCCTAAAACCCTAAACCCCTAGACCCTAAACCCCCAAACCCCTAAACCCCTAAACCCTAAACCCCTAGACCCTAAACTCCCAGACCCTAAACCAAAAGCCACCTTGTCATAGGCCGGCACATCTTGCGCTGCCGGCCGAGGACCTGCAAGGCAACGGCTTAAGCACTGTAACCTACGAAAAGTTTAGGATATAGCGGTGTTAGGGGTTTAGAGTTTAGGGTTTAGGATGTAGGGGTTTAGGGGTTTACACTTTAGGGTGTAGGATATAGGGGTTTAGAGTTTAGGGTTTAGGATATGGGGGTTTAAGGGGTTTAGAGGTTAGGGTTTAGGAGATCGAGGTTTAGGGGTTTAGAGTTTAGGGCTTAGGAGTTTAGCATGCCAGAAACGACAAGTTCTCTTCTTTCTTGCTTAGGCGCCTTCTGTCGAACCTGTAAGTTCAGAGGGTTCTGACCCATGGCTTCGTGGTTCAGACAGAGCCGGGGAGTTCCCGCTGATGCAGCCAAGTGCAGACGAACTAGAGGTGAAGGAAGGTTCTGGGGACTAGGTAAGATTGAGTCTGCAGCTTGCATGTGAAAGGTTATACGTGTACCTAAAGGTAGGACAAGTCTGGGCCTTAGTCCCTGGCTGCGATGTAGGAACCGTAGGTTGTCACATGAATTCCACGTTGATTTGAGGGCGGAGGCCACATGTCCTCATGGGAGGGGGGTAGGGGACTACTTCCTTAAATAGGCCGTGTTGAGTCCTTATTATAGATATTAAGGCCCCCTACCCCCCTACCCTCCTAAGGTCCTTATGAGAAGGCAACAAGAAGGAATTACTGGACAGCAGTAAACATGTGTTAGAGGACCCGAAGCGACAAGCATCGCCTGAAAGGCCCGGCAGCCCTGCAGCCCCTCCTGCCACAGTTCTTACTCTTAAGATGACTAATGTGATTGCAACCCGTGTGATACTGATTGCAATTGTTGGTACCTTTGCTGCTTCGTTCATATCATGCTTGTGCTGCCTTCCTACTAAGCTGACTGCATTCTCGATGTGATTATTTGCATTCGCCGATCACACCTCGTTAACAAGCTCACATATATGATTAGTCAAATTACATGTGCATATATATATATACACATACAAATGTATGTACGTAGGTATGCATGTGAGTATGTGGTCATGTACATATGTATTTATGCGTGTATGTATCTATATACACCCACATGTACACAAAACCACTGTGTATACACATGTAAATATACATATATATATATATATATATATATATGTATATATATATATATATATATACACATATATTTACACACAAGATATACCCACATGCACATACAGACACACACACACACACACATGTACCCATGCCTGCACAGGTATATATACATAAAACTTATATTGTCCATGTACATAGAATTATATGCAAACATGCACGTAGGAATGTATTTATGTCTGTAAGTAAGAAAACATACCTATCGGTGTATCTATCATTACCTATCTTCCTACATGTGTAGGTAACTACCTATCTGACTATCTACCTATCTACCTAGCAATCTAGCTTTCTGGCTATCTGGCTATCTGGCTGGCTAGCTATCTATCTATCGCTTCTACTTATCTACCTACCTACCTATCTGCTTATTAATCTAGCTATCTTACTTCCGTTCTGGGTGTTTGTACGTCCATATGTCTGCATGTATGTATACCTGCTTGTAAGGATGTACGTGCGCGCGTGTGTGACCGTACATGTGTATCTCTGATCTTTTGTATCTGTAAACATTTAAAAAATTCCATATATATATATATATGTACGATACATATATGTGCACAAAGATATATGTAGCCCCAGGTCCACCTCGTCGACTACAGCTGGACTCGCAGCTGCCCCACATGAAGTCGGGGTTGGCCTTGCTGGAGTTTGAAAGCTTCAAGTTAAGGTTTCGTTAGGGTTTAGGGTTGAGGGTTTAGGGTTTAGGGCGGTCGGAGTTCAGGGCTTAAATCCTAAGGCAGTTTAGGACTTACAGAGGGCGACTGCCCCTGCAGAGGCAATTCTGCTGGCTGCTATCTTCTTGGTCATGTCCTTATGACTTACGTGAGCAGAACCTTTGTCATTGTTGCGGCTTTCAATTAATCTGTGCCGCAGTTCTGGCTACTTCGTCATTCAGCTTGTGTGGATTATTTGGGTGACCATGGTTTTCTTGCACCCCTTGTGCCTGACTGCAAGTCAGGACTACCAAACGCACGGTGACCTCTTGCTACCATTTAGCCATGGAACTCTGTGCAAATGCAGAGAATAAGCAAACGAAGAACAAATTCATAGTATGTAAGTATGTGTGTATGCATGTAGGTATGTATGTACGTAAGTTTTTACGTACGTATGTATGCTTGCCTTTGCGCGTGGATGTACATGTGCGCATGTATGTATGCATGCTTGATGCATGGGTGAATGTATGTCAGCATGTACATGCGCATAAACGGCATATAAGCAACATCAAACTTTTAACAACATAGTAGGACTGGTTATCACGTACTAGAATATGTTACACTATGACATCGTATAGCAAACTACAACCAATATGCCATACCAAAATGAAGCACCACAAAGCATCGTATTATACAGCAGAATCAGAATGTAGCATAACGGAATGTAAGAAACTATGTCGTAACATCACAAAACATGTTTCTAGATGATACAATGTCAAAACATGTTTCCAGATAATACCATGTCAAACATTATCATGCAGTATCATTGTAATGTATCATGATTTAGTGCAATCTGATCCAACATAACCTGTTGAACTGTATAACACAACACCACAGCATAATGCACTGGAATGTAAACCCATACAAATGCATATAACTAATTATATATATACACACATATATATATATATTATACACACATACACATATACATATACATACGAACATATTCACAACACGAACACTTCCCTTCAGGTTGCCAGTGTGCATCTCACCTGGCCTCGCACTCACCGGCCTCTGCCCAGGAGTCACAATGCCTGCAAGAAGGCGGGCTTCAGGGGGGGGATATACAGGGTTTAGGGTTTAGGAGTTCAGGGTGCCTTGAAGAGTTGGAGCGCTGGCTTTTGCAAGTGTTTCTGTCGGATCGGGCTGTTGCCAGTGGTTGCGCGCCCGAGTCCAAAATCGTGCCGTGGATCCATGGATGGATAGTCCACACGGCAATTTTAAATGAGACTCCGCTCTAAAACGATAGCAACACGAGTAGCCTCCCTTTCGCACGGGGCGGCAGGGCGTTGCCTATCATCGGAGTTCACAGCAATGTGATGGAATGGACTCTACTTACAAGCAGTTGGAGTTCACTCCAGTCATAGCATTCCAGAGGTCTATGGCGGACGGGATCAACAACGCAATCTTAATAACGGAAGCGGTTCCACCTGAAACAAAAAGAAGAACAACCTGGGCGCCAAACTCTAGAACCATCAAGCTGATTTCCCACCAGCTTAAGGAAGAAACTGCGGCCTCGAACATGTCCTTCAGGATATCTTCATCCCAAAGGACTTTGGCCCCTTTCCATGCATCATTGGCGTTGTCCCGGGCTGCACGGTTCACCCGGAGCTTCTTCCAATGTGTCCAGACCTTCTGAAAGGAGGCGGGCTCGTCCAAGTACTTCTTCAACACACTCTTGGCGGGTCCCTTACCGGCCTTCGGAGGCTTCACGCCCATGACGTCAAACATCAAGAAGGCGATTTCCATCCCGGCTCCGGCCACGGCCTGGATGCACTCGGGCCGATTGGTGCCTCGACGCCGACGTCGGTGCACACGCCGGCGACGGCGACGGCGACTTGACTCCAAGGCTTCGGACGACGATGAGGATCCAGAAACTCCCTGCTGCAGCAGATCCGATTCATAGTATTTACCCCCTTCGTCGTCATCGTCCCCATCTTCCTCCAACGCCACGGCACCGTCATCCGAGTCGTCGGAATCGTCGAAGTCGTCGGTGTCGTCGAAGTCGTCAGGATCCTGTTTTTCTTCCTCCTCCTCCTCCTCCACCTCTTCCGCGTCCGGGTCTTTCCAGACGACCGGGGTGGACTCGGAGTAGATGGGGTGACCCGGAGCTGGCGAGATGCCGTGCGTGAGGAAATCCTTCAACTCCTTATCGTACTTCTCGAGCTTGGAGGCATAGTTGGGGAACATCCTGCAGCAATCTCCCAGCACAAGGCCGGCCCAGTTCTGCATGAAAGCATCGTGGCGGGCGAAGTACTGAGGCTGCTCCTGGGAGACATTCTGTCGACGTGCCAACTGCGTGAGAGCACTCTCCTCACACTCGGATTCCGAATAGCACGTCTCCGATAAGTCGCCAACTGCCTGGCCAAAGAGCCCCAAAACAAGGAGCTGAAGGCACTTGGGTACCCACTTCATGAGCCTCCAGAGGTCTTTTTGGCAAGAGTTGGGGGGTCCAAGAACAAGGCCAAAACTCTTGAACCACAACGTGATCGAACGGCAGCGCGGGTTTGGGATTTGAGACTTGGGGGCTTTTGTGGAGGCTGCGTAGCTCCGTTGGGGGTCATGCGACGTCAGGCCGCTACAGGAGGTTTAGAGCTCTTGAAGCTTGACGATTTAGGAGCGGAGATAATTCAGGAGTTGAAAGCAGAACTGAAACCAACTGCTGGACTCCAGTATCTTCGTTGGTGCGACGTGCCCTGAAAATTGAATAACAATGAGGAACTTAAAACAATGCAACATTGAATGGAAGATTGCATTGCTTGCGGCAGACACGACAACCGAGCCTGCAGCACAAGCATGTGCCAGTTGTTGACTATGTGGGGATAGCATGCCGCGGTTTCTGAGTGCTGCAAAACTCCTAACCCTATCAGTGGCAATTAACTATCATACTACTACCATATTACTATAATATTACTACCATCTTACTACTATTACTAGGATGTGGGACTTTAGACTGACTTGTTAGGTGCTGTGCTGTTGAAGGACCTCCAGTCATCCCGCAGATTCTTCACGCCTAGAAAACTGGTAACATCTACTACGCACTCAACTGTTCTACCGATGCTGTCCACGCAGTGTGTTCATAGCTTTCCGAATCCTCGGCTGTGCTGATGTCATCCCTGCCCTGAGCCCCTTTGCCGACAGGCCCGAACCCTCTCCAAACCGTCAAGCCCAACGCGTCTTCAACCATCGTTGCCCCAAGTCAACAGCCCTCTTTACTCTGCGCCCCAAGCCCCGAAACCTCTGAAGAAACTCATCTCTTTGCGCCCCAGGCTTCAGATTTCCAGCCCTTGAACCCAACCCCTCAGGCCCCTGCTCATGCTGATCTGCACCAGCTGCATGTGGGAAGAAAGAGGCCTGAAACACCATTTGTGGATTTTGTGCTTTTTAGGGTTTAGGCTCCAAGGCGAGGTTTTAAGATTTACTTGAGGGTTGCGTGCTTAATGGTTTGAGCTTACCATGGTCAAGCGTCCCTCAAGCATCCTTGGAGAAGGGATCCCACAACTCAGGGGTAATGGAAGCCTCCTTAAAGGGTTCGGGATTCTTCGGGGTTTCAGTTGCTGCCCCAAGCCTTGTAAGGCCTAAACCCATCAGGACCCTAAATCCCTAAACCCCTAAATGCCTAGACCCCTAAACCCCTAAATCCCTGAAGCCCATGCCCGACAACTCTCCATTATCACGGCCGAAACTTTTCCAGGTTTAGGAAAGTTTAGAGCTAAGGGGCCTTAATGAGGTTCCTTCAAGGGATCTATAAGGGTACTATCAGGAGGGACATGACTGGGGTTTCGGGCTTAGCCACATCGCATAATGTAGGAACCTGATTAGGAAACCCTGGTCCTATAACCCCCAAAATAGTAGGATTCGTATAAGGAACCCTAGCAAAGGCCCAAGGTTTCTTAATCAGGTTCCTAAATTATCATAGTACCCTTACAGATCCCTTTATAGTAACCCTTGTAGACCCCTTAAATGAAGCCTGATAAAGGCCCAAGGTTTCCAAATCCGGTTCCTACATTAATTTATTATAGTACCCTTGCCTTACTATAGATCCCTGATAGTAACCCTTATAGTACCCTTTAAAGGAGCCCTAATAGAGGCCCAAGGTTTCTAAATCCGGTTCCTACCCTACCCCTGGGTAGCCGCGGTGCCGCTAGCAGAGCTGCCAGCGCGCGCGACGACCTGCCAGGCGATCTTTCAGGTTCGGCTCAGGAATTAAGGTTTAAGGGTTTCAGGGTTTAGTGGTTTAAGGGTTTAGGGTTCAGGGTTTAGGGGTTTTAGGGTTTAGGGTTTAGGGGTTTTAGGCTTTCTTTTGAGGGCTCTTTTCCAAGTGGGTTACAGCGATAAGGGTTTAGGGCTATATGTCGCAATGAACCTTGGGGTGGTAGGATTCGATAGAACTTTGTGGAAATCATTCGTCCATTCTGGCTACAGCCTTCTGTGCTAGCTAAACCTGAATCCCCAGAACCCCTGAAACTTAACCCGAAGTCCCGCAACCCGTACGGCGCAACTATAGGGATTGTGTAGGATTTAGGATTTAGGGTTTCTACAATCAGGGCCTATGCTCAAAACTATGATGCTTCCGTAAGTCGCCGCTGCCTGCCAGCCCCACAGCGGCGGCGCCGGCGAGTCATCACGAGACAACCATGAAAGTTGAAGGGTTTTGGATTTGGGGGCCGGCGCTAGTAATATGAGTAATATGTTTGACACTGGGTTCGTTGCTGCAGACTCGATGCTCAGAATGCGAGACGACATGTCTGGCTTGCTGCAGTCCTGCTTGCGGATCTTGATGTGTGCTGTTCAAGTGGAGGTGCCGGGACAATGTGATGGACACATTTAGGTGTAGTGGAGACTGTGCCACGGCTTTTGCTGTTGAACCTGCGTCAGACTTCGGGTCTGCAGGTGGGTGTGGGCTGATCAGAGTCTACGCTTGTCTGAGGTAGCTGCAGATGAAGCCAAAGGCTTTTGCTGTTAGGGTTTTGGGTTTAGGATTTAGGATGTTGAATCCTTCTGCAGCAAATTTGCTAAGCCCCTTACTTCAAGAGGAGAGAACCAGAAAACCAGTCTTGCTCGAAGACAAATCAGACTATTGAACAAACGCCTTCATGCAGGGAATATGCTGGGGTTATGACAGGTTATGATACAAGTATCATACAGGTATCATTTATTTAGCGGGTATATAGAGGCTATATAGGAATCACATTATCGGGCTTAAGCGGGGCTTCTACACAATTGCACCAGAGGCTTCCGCAGAAGCTCGAAGCTTTGCCAGAGATCGCCCCGTCTCCATCAAAAAAACTGTTGTCGTAAAACGACGACGGTCGAAACGATATCTCTTCATGATCATAATCGCAGCACTCAACAGTCATCTCAGCAAGACGAGTAAGAACGTTCACCACAAAAACATACTAAACTCCAAGACACAAATCCGTTGGCGCGATCGTCCCTCCAAAATTGCACCTCCAGGACCTCTGCTGGATCCTCGATCCTCTCGTCCTTCCCAGCTCTCTTTCGGTACAGCTTGACAGGGTTCGGGGTTCAGGTTCAGGGTTTGAGGATGCTGGTTTCAGGATTAGGTTTGAGGCCTCATTCCGCTGGGATTCCGACGGCGATCAGGATGTCAGGCCGACAAATAAACTGCAAACAAGCAAAGAGATCAGAGAATGGTGTCAGTGTCTAGGATTTCGGGCGTAGGGAATCAGATATTCTCGTCATTGAACACGCCAGGCCAAATCCTGCAAGGATCGTAGTAAAGGATTGAAGCAGCTAGAGCTCCCATCCTTGCTCTGAACCGGCCCTGTACCCTGGCCCCTTAAGCCCTGAGACCTGAACCCTAAACCCGGAAGGTTAGGGTTTAGGGTTTAGGGGTTTAGGGTTTAGGGTTTAGGGGTTTAGGGTTTAGGGTTTAGGGCTTAGGTAATCCTTCAACCCATAAAAACCCACCGGTTTCAAACAGCCATTGCTTGGTGGAATTGTGTCCTTAGCTTTCCGGCCGGTCTTTACGCTTTGGGGCTTTCGGGAACCTCGAGGCTGATTGAATCCTTCTTGAGTCTTTTGGAAGTCTGTGTTGGGTTTAGGGTTTAGGGTTTAGGGGTTTAGGGTTTAGGGTTTAGGGGTTAGGGTTTAGGGTTTAGGGTTTAGGGTTTAGGGTTTTTTGCTAAACCTCGTCCTTTTCGTTCGCGCCCCAGGCCCCAACAATAAACCCGAAGAAGCCCTGTGCCGGTCCGAGATTTCACGATTCGGCAATAAACCGTCGACGGTGCCCCCCTCCGGCGATTCGACCTGTGCCGGTTCAGGAAGGAATCTTCGACCACATGAGGCATCGTCTCTGAAGCGTTACTTGCGAGGTGTCCGACTTGAAGCGGTGCATTGGGAAGGCTGTGCCAAAACAATGACGAGCCCGAAAATGGGACATTAATTTCGACAGCTCCCAAGCACACTCTAGGAGAAAATCCACTGAAACACCTAGTACCCCGCCTGAGCCAAAATAGTCAAGCAAAGGCTAGTCACAGAACCACAAGCTGCTTGGAAACGATCAAGGTTCAGAGTCTAAGGTTCACAGATACCACTGCTAGAGGCGAGGATTCCCTGACAGGGGAGGTACTGCCGCCCTCACGCTGGGCTCACGCTCAGAAGAAACGTAGCAAGTAAGGCTTTAAGAGCTTTAAGTAAGGGACTGCGCTCAGCAGGATCCATAGTTTCAGGCTTTTAACAGAGGTGGCGCGGCACCAGTTCAGGATCTGTAAGATTCGCATAGGCATTGCTGTTCGCATGGATGCGTGCATGCATGATAGCAGCATTCGCGCAAACAATTCTAGCCATATAGTAGTGAACGTAAGCACAAGCACTGAGCTAGTTCACAACAGGTTTGCCGAAAGAACCGGTCCTTGTTCCAGACTGGCACATGGGTGAACCTTTTGCAATGTAACGAAATTGAGGCAGCACGCACATATGAGAGCACGGTAAAAACAACTAGTATGTTTATCATTGGTCATATATGTTCATCTGTACACACATGCATGAAGAGGGATTGAGCGAGAGTGAGAGGGAGAGAGAGGAAGAGAGTATGCACGTGTATGTTCATGATGCTCAGTCAATGGTTGCATCGTTCGTGCAAGCATGCAAGCAGACCTAATGACCTCATGCGGTATGCTGTTCACGTAGCTTTGCATCTTATGTATCTGTATGTAACACGAGATAACGACATTGTGACAAAACAGCCTGAGCGCGAAAGCCAACCCAGGGCAGCAAACCCGAATGCCTACAAAGCGGAAACCCGCGTCATAAATCTTCATAGACCTACCATGCAAGCCCCCAGTCGTTAATCCTTGCTGTGTCAATGTCGGATCCCGGCACCAAAATCCTAAACAGACTTGCATTTCATGTGGGACAGACCCTACCCGCAAAACCTGAACCCCAGCCTGGACGAATGCTCCGAAGTCAGCGAAGTCTGAGTTCAGCACAGATGGTTTCGGAGGATTTCGGGCTGGTTAGAGCTGTTGCTTCGAAGCTTTGCGTGTAATGCAGGCTACTTGATGCAATGATGCTGGTACTCCACGCAACTAAGACACTAATTCGCTGTTGCGTCTGCGAGGGTAGCCTACTGCATGTGTAATATGCAGACATACACATGTACGTACATACATACGTACATACGCACATACGTACATACGCACATACGTACATAAAAACATACATACATACATACATACGTACGTACGTACATACATACATACATTACTTACTTACATACATACATACACACTCATACCCGCATACATACACACATATGCGCACATACATACACAAAGCAGCAGCAGCAACGGCGACGACGACGACAAGAACAACAACAATAACAATAACAAGAGCGAGCGCAACAGCAAGAACAATAACAAGAATAAGAAGAAGAAGAAGAGCACAAGCAACTGCAAAAGCAACGGCCTGCAGCAATCACAGCAAGAGCAACAGCAGCAGCAGCGGCAGCAAACAACAACAACGACAACAACAACAACAACAACAACAACAACAACAACAACGAAAAAATGAGGGGGGGCAGAGGGCTGACACTACTTGTATGACATATATATATATATATATACTTATTTATTTAATTGTATTTATACATATGTAAAGGTATGTATATACATACATATACAAGTGTCTAGACGACGAATAATTTCCATGACACAGATAATAATCAGTAAAAACTACATTCATACAAAGTATGTGGTTTTGGTTGTATAATACTTGACACCAGCGAGTGAACCCAACTTTCCGTAAAACGTACGACCAGAATTGCAACGCGCGACATCCCGACCAGCAGCCTCAATATCTGAGAGCTTGAACCCTAAACCTTAAACCAAAACCCTAAACCCTAAACCCTAAGCCTCAAGCCCGGTATCCCCGAAACCCGTAAACCCAAAACCCGAACTCATCCCGACGGGATAAGGTGCGACTGCGAAAACTTAAGGGATGTTAAGGGTTTGGGAAGCAAGAAATTCGGAGTTTTGGTTCAAGTCCTCAGGCCTGTTAGTGACTTGGATTTCGAAGCGAATATTCCGAAATCTCAACAACGATCCCCCTCGGCATCCCTGCTCTTCACAATGCCTTCCACCCACCTCAGCACGAACTCGGGGAGTTCATAGAGGGCAGCAAAGGGATTCTACCCTGCCAGTGCAGGAACGCAGGCTTTACTGCTCAAGGCTTACCCAAAGGGTCCTATGTACCGCTATGGGGGATACTTCCCTGGATCATAATAGTAATTCCTAATATGGAAACCCTACATTCTACCATACGGGTACTTAGGACCCTTTGGGTTAGGAAGGCGACGGAATACGACGGGATACAGGCCGACTATGAGTTGCCCAAAGATCCCAATACCCCTTAATTGAGGATTATACATTAAATTATAGGGGGCCACATTCCTTAATTAAAGGGTATTGGGTTCTTTGGGTGTTTGTGGCGGCATTTATCATACCAGGGAGCAGTGGCAAGGCCGCATGGAGCTTGCAGAAAGCTCCCTCGCCATTCTAAGGGATACGTAGAAGAAGGATCGTAGAGAGAGGTTCGTTACTCATGTCCCACATGTTCTGACTGTCAATGTGGGATTCCGACTCTCGGGGGGATCTTGAGAGGCTTTACTCCAGAGCCCACTTCGGCACCCACGTTCGTGGCCCGGATCTCCACACTCTTCTTGCAGGATCTGCAGATTTACGTCTTTGGTCCCCGGTTTCCGTTCCGCAGTCTAGGGTTTGAGGATTGGTTTGGGGTTACGGTCACTGAGTTTTTGGTACGGGACGTCCGCGCGAGCCCACAAGCTTCGCTCACCGCTGCTGCAGCTAAGTAGCTTGTCTTTCATGTCATAGAAGGGCGCGAAAGCACCTTCCAAATTTGAAGGGTTCTACCGTGGCTGTCTGTTTATGAGTCGTTTATCGTCCTCAAAGTTGGCTGTCCTTAGCATACAATCGATCACATATTATATATACATATATATATATATATATATATTAATATACATATACACACAGAGACCAAGGCTCCGGAAAAAACAACGCAGCAAGAGATGAAGAGCTTGCTATGTTGGACTGCGTCTTAAGAGGCACAAAAGTTTCAAGCTTCAACAGCCCCATGACCCATGTTGCTGTGCCGTAGCCGAAAAGATCATCATATTCTTCACTCCCACCGTAAACAATGTCTTGCTGGTATTGTCGCCGTCGTCATCATTATCAACATCACCGTCAACAGCAGCATAATCAAGTTTACAACGGCCAACATCATCCCAAGCATCTTTGTCTTCGTCATCGACGTCTCCCACCCTGCATCGTAGTGACAATTTCTGCGGCTGGTAGTGACTTGGTTTGGTGTACCTGCCGCACCTGGTGCACCAAATCTGGGTAGTGACAGCACTGCGCAATTGGCATTGTGTTTACCTAGTTTACTTGACTAGCAGCGACACTGCTGATGCTGCAACACAAGCAGGTTTTGCAAGCAAGAATAACAACCCTGGCTGCGTGACCACTAAGCCGCAGCTCAAAAACCACCGCCACCACCACCACAACCACCACAACGGCATCAACGACAACAACGACGACGACGAAGCGGTACAGAGGAGGAGCAACAACAGCATGAGTCCCTCCATCAATCCATCAATTTTTTTAGCCCTCCGAGGAGCTTTCCTACACCCCAAGATCCAATGGCCAAACCCCGAGCCCACGCACCAAGGCCTGCCGAGGACATCATAGAAAGGCTAATCCTGCGCCAGAGGAAGGGCTGGGCTTTAGGGTGAAGGTCTCAAGGTTTAGGGCCTCGGGACGTCCCTTGCTTATGAAGGGCTCCACTATGCTCCACTGGCTGTTTACACGTCACTACCTGCTGCCGAGTGCCTGTTGCCATGATTAAGAGAGAGAGCTTTTTCGCGGTTTCGCAGTTCTGGTACGAAAACACAGGCAGCTCAAGCAGTAGTAGTGATGGCAGCCATAGTGGTAGTAGTCGTCGTCGTCGTAGTGGCAGTGGCAGTGGCAGTGGCAGTGGCAGTGGCAGTAGGAGTAGGAGTAGGAGTAGGAGTAGTAGTAGGAGTAGGAGTAGGAGTAGGAGTAGTCGTCGTGGTGGTGGTGGTGGTGGTAGTGGTAGTGGTGTGGTAGTGGTAGTGGTAACGGTAGTGGCAGTGGCAGTGGCAGTGGCAGTGGTAGTGGCAGTGGTAGTGCCAGTGCCAGTGCCAGCGGCCGTGGTAGTGGTAGTGGGTAGTGGTAGAAGCAGTGGCAGTGGTGGTGGTGGTAGTGGTAGTGGTGGTGCTGCTGGTGGTGGTGCTGCTGGTGGTGCTGGTGGTGGTGCTGGTGGTGGTGCTGGTGGTGCTGGTGGTGATGGTGGTGAGGGTGCTGGTGGTGGCGGTGGAGGCGGCAGCAGCAGTGGCCTGGTGGTGGTGATGGTGGTGCTGGTGGTGCTGGTGGTGATGGTGGTGAGGGTGCTGGTGTTGGCGGTGGAGGCGGCAGCAGCAGTGGCAGCGCTAGTGGCAGTGGCAGTGGTGGAGTCGTATTAGTCGTCGTAGTAGTAGTGGTAGTCGCAGCAGCAGCGGCAGCAGAAGTAGTGGTAGTAGTAGTGGTAACCCCTATACACAATTCTGGTAGCAGGCGCCCCTCCGATCTGAGAGCTAGACTTGTTGGAGTCGTCGATGTTGACAACTCGAACCTGGCTCGGACTTTGGGCTCAGGGCCTAGAGTTGAGGGTTTGGGGGGTAGGGGCCGGGGGAAGCCTGCTTGTTTGGGGGGCCGACAACACGACTTTTATGCAGAGACTTCCCTGGAAAGCTGAATTTTGGGTTTAGATCTTAATTAACATCGAACACGATCGATCTTTTCCCGGACGTGCACCCTGCTTCCAATGATATCTGGTGTCCACGCCAGGCATGTGAAGACCAACGACTCCACGCATCCAGCCTTCACTTCGTCCATGACGTCCGGGGAGCCCTGTGCTGAGAGCGGCTTTTCGCTTTCCGCTCGATGCCTACATGCCAAAATGATAGGGGGAGGATTAGGGTCCACATCGAACAAATAACCTGCTCCGGCCGCTTCTGGCTAAGTTAGCTCTGATTACTCGTACAGGTGAAGCATCAAGGCTGGGAATCTCAACCGGGAATGCAGATTCCAGCTATGTCTCCCTGCTCACAGCCTTGCGCGAAAAACAAGGACTCCAAAACCAAAGCCTATAACTATAGCTATAGCTCCTGACCCTCACTAAGATCTTGCTCAAGACTTCAACATACCATCCTATTATAGCAAGACATCCAATAATGAACTCCTAACCCTCCTGATCAGCTGGACTGGATCCCAGAAACCAAAGCCCGGACGCCAAAACTTCAGTCTAAACCCTAAACCCTTCAACCTCCAAATACCAGTGCCTGCCTTGAGCTCTGTCCGATAGACGAGGCCCTGTGCGGTGCCCTCCACGCCGGGAACGCGAAAGGCAACGAAGCAGCCAAAATCCTGGTCTGAAATTGTTTTTCTTGGGATTCGAGGTTTGGGACTTTGGTGCCTCGGGGCTCAAGGTTTGGGGAATAGGTCTCGACCACGTCCTGCTGCCCGTGCTGACCTGCTTACTTGCTCGCTTGCTTGTCTGCTTACCCACTTACCACTGCTGCAACTACGACGACTACGACCACGACCAGCGCACGACGACAAAGACGGCGACCACTAGGAGAAAGGCTACAGCTGCTGAGCTGCTGCTGGGGCTGCTACTGTTGCTACTAGAGCTACTGCTACTGATATTGTTAGTATTACTACTAGTACTACTAGTACCAGTAGTAGTACTAGTACTCCTACTGCTACGACGACGACAACTGCTCTACTTCTGCTACTACAACATCAACTACTACTTCCAATGCCCGACGTTACACTAAAGCCATCACAAGCAGCATCATCAAGCTCACCAGCCGATACCCGGCTGTGGAAGGAAACCCTAATTTGTGTAGAGGCTCGGAGAACCCTAGCACGTCATTCAACCAAGAGGTAACAAGTAGAAAACCTTATGGAACAGTAAATGCTTGGGAGAACCTGTTTGCCTATCGTCTCCATTGTAGTTCCTTACTTTGGCTTAACCAACTTTACATCTAGGATCCTATAAGGCATCCCAAAACAGGAACGACAATGGAGACCACAGGTAGTCCATGGCCTTTGAAACAACCCTGGTACACTGACGCCCTATGTAAACAAAAAGCTTCCGGAAAGTCAGTCCCGCTTCTGCGTGACCATGCCCGTAAGCCACCGGTCATTCGGCTTGCCCTTGGCGGGCTGGCAATTTAGGGCTAAAAGGGTACTATAAGGCTACGAAAAGGGTACTAAGTATTATACGGGTACTTTCAGGGTACTGTATGACGTTGTTGTTGGGGGGTCGAGGGAATTAAAGTTTGCGGCTGTGGGCTGCGAGGATTGCGCTGCAGACCACGGGCTTGCAAGAGTGGCAACACTCGGAGCGAGATGGGATATCGGATATTGCTTACGCTGCAAGGGCTCCTACTCACCCTACTCGGGACACCGGCACCTGTTTGATGTGCAGGAACGTAACCGTGATTGTATAGCCAAGAGCTTGAGGTGCGACGCGCTTCCGGGGATGTTTGAATGTCGTGCTTCACAAGACTCTGAAGCCCAAGGCTCCACCTACACCCGTGACTACAGAGCATACCGACGAACGTCCAACCACCGAATCTTCAAAGCCCTAAACCCTAGTTCCCCGAAGCCCCCAACCCTAAACCCCAGACTTGAACCAGAGGACCCTGCATCTCCAAACGGTTCGATGGGGGCTCGTCAAGTCCACGCTGTATAAGGGCATTGTAAGGGGATGTTAAGGCTCTCTACAAGGGTTCTAAGGTGTTCTCCATAGAGCAATGGTCGGGTGTGGGGTATCTGAGCTTTTAATACACCATTATCATGGTCTTCAATAAGGGACTGAGGGTATATTTTAGTATATTATACGTTTTTTGATTCGCTTTTTGCTTGTTGCTTGGTTTTAGGGGCAAGGTGACATGGATCCCACTATCTCGGGCCGATTTCCAAAATCCTACATCCTTTGAGTCTAAACCTGAACTACACAAGCTGACTAAACCCTCCTCGTGGCTGAAAACCACAAATGCCGTGGGTTCAACCCTGCCGGGACCACAAACGAGTGTAGAATAATAGCCTGCTGTATGTGTTGGGCCAAAACTTCATCTACTTTTCTGAGGGTGTAAGTGTAATGCTACGGCGTGCACCAGGTGACAATAGTTGGACCACAGTCCACAACGAAAGGGACATGGTGCTCAGCCGCTATCTTTATGGCGAAAAGGCAAGCAGCAGCAAACGCCACGGCACAACATCGCGCACGCCACTACTCGAGGTCGCAAGAAGGTTGCCCTCGAACAATCTTGTGTAGACGTTGGCCCTACTCGGTCCAACACGTGGTCACACCAACTGCGGGAACTGGAACACCAACAAAAAAATGGACGAGTTGCCGCTACCTTCCCAACGTAAATCTTACCGTTGTACACGATGTGGCAATGATCGCGCGGCACCCGCAGATTCGGATCCCTGTGGGAGGGGTCGCTAATAGCCTTGATGCCCCCGGCACTGGCAGGCCTGAACTGCATCAACAGAATGACATGCGGCACCTGTCTGACCGACCCGCCAAACTTCACTATCCAGGAAACTGGGTAGATGTTCTCCGACGAGTCGCAGGCTCAGCCTGGACTTCTTCCGGCATTGGTCGCAGGCTGCACAGTATAGAAGGTCAGCCCCAACGCCGTGGCACTTTTGGTGCCATGCAAGATGCACTCAGCGCACACACACACGACACAACCCGGTGATCCGAAAGGAAGCCATGTACAGAAGCATTCCCACCCAGCCACACCGCACTGGAGCTTAGTCATTACGGGAAAACCGACATTGTATCCGTGGGTTAACCGGGCGCAGCACAAGCCCCGTCCCTCGAGTTACGTCAATCGGCACGCGCACACGTACACGCACACTCACACCCAAGCGGACAAGAGGACATTCCTGTCGATACTTACGTCCAACAGATTCAATCTCGCATCTGTGCCAGTGCCATTGTGCGGCGCGGCCATAATCGCAGCGTTCAGACTGCGATTGCAGGCCCACCGAACATCCTCGTCCGGCACGCTGCAGACCCCTCGGCGCAGGACGGCAACCAAGCTCGGCGTCAGTTCTCCCCTCCACAATCGACCACATCTGAGGCCTGGTGCGGTACAGTAGCAGTACAGCAGTGATACAGTAGTACGGTAGTAGTACCGTAGTAGTACCGTAGTAGTACCGTAGTAGTACCGTAGTAGTAGTCGTAGTAGTAGTAGTAGTCGTAGTAGTCGTAGTAGTCGTAGTAGTCGTAGTAGTCGTAGTAGTCGTAGTAGTCGTAGTAGTCGTAGTAGTAGTAGTAGTAGCAGTAGTAGTAGTAGTGGTAGTAGTAGTAGTTTTGAGCTTTGCATGCAGCAGAAGGAGTCCCTCCGCCAGGCGTCGGGACAGAGCAGACTTCTTGAAGAGCCTGGAACCGTTTGGTTCGTGGTCTTTGTCCAGTAGTAATAGTAGTAGTAGTAGTAGTAGTAGTAGTAGTAGTAGTAGTAGTAGTAGTAGTAGTAGTAGTAGTAGGAGTAGTAGTAGTAGTAGTAGTAGTAGTAGTAGTAGTAGTAGTAGTAGTAGTAGTAGTAGTAGTAGTAGTAGTAGTAGTAGTAGTAGCAGTAGTAGTAGTAGTAGTAGTAGTAGTAGTAGTAGTAGTAGTAGTAGTAGGTAGTGGTAGTAGTAGTAGTAGTAGTAGTAGTCGTCGTCGTCGTCGTAGTCGTAGTCGTAGTCGTAGTAGTAGTAGTAGTAGCAGCAGCAGTAGTAGTAGTAGTAGTAGTAGTAGTAGTACAGTTCAGTAGTAGAACAGTAGTAGTACAGTAGTAGTGCAGTAGCAGTACAACAGGAGTCTATCAGCAGTACAGTACGAGGGTTTGGGAGTACCTGGAGCTGTTTAGTTGGGTTTGGGGATCACCAAAAGCTGGAAACCAAAGCCCCGATCACTCCAAGAGAACTACCAAGAGTAAAAACCCTTCATTTTGAAGACTTTTGCCTCCAACCTACACTCCCCTCCACACTCGACGACCTCTGAGGCTTGGTACTGTGCAGTGGTAGTACAGTAATAGTACAGTAGTAGTGCAGTAGTACAGGGGGTTTAGGTCGTGGGTGTCTTAAGATTGACCATCAGCAGACAGGACCAACCACACCAAACAAATCCCCCCAGCAACAAAAAAAAACATTGATTAGGACACCCAACAATCGCACCAAGGAGGCCCACGTTCCAATTTAGGCCGCCACATTAGGTAGACTCCCCTAAACCCTTAAACCCTAAACCCCTAAACCCTAAACCCCTAAACCCTGAACCCTAAACCCTAAACCCTTAAACCCCAAACCCCGAAACCCTAAACCCACCCAGCCCTTAGCCTTTAACTCCATAAGCCCTCAGCCTTTCACTGGAAAGCCTGCGCCCTGAAGCCCTCAACCCTACACCCGACTGTCGGGGCCTAAATAACTTGTTCATACTCTTTTGGGAGTTCCTTAATATAACTTATAGTTTCATGAGTCCCAAAACCCTATTCTACTTACTAAGGCCCCTATATTACCACCTTTTTAGCTTTAGTTCCTAGTCATAGATCCTAAACGCCTGAACCTAAACCCAATTCCTCGACCCCACATCTAAAGCCCGGAAGCCGAATCCCGAAATCCCGAACCCTGTTTCCAAACCATAAGACTTGAATCAGAAACCTTGTTTCCTCAGTCCTAGACACCAAAACCCGAAGTCCTAAACCCTAAACCCTATACCCTACACCCTAAACCTAAACCCTAAACGCTAAAACCTAAACCCCTAAACCCCTAAACCCTAAACCCTAAGTCCTAAACCCTAAGACAGTAAACGCCAGAGCCTGACTGAAGCCTCCTGTCAAAGGGGAAAAGGAGGGACCCTTAATGGGGACCCCTGGGTCCCTATATTGGGCTATATTATATAATGGGTATACAATGGCTATATTATGGGGTATATACCAAGGGGTCCTTATTTAGGGTCCCTCCTTTTACCCTTTGCTCCTGGGACCTGGCCTTTCCCACCCATGTCTGGTTGCCCAGACACTGAGAATACACAGTGGTTCAAGGAACGGAAGCTCCCCAAACAACGCCTGGCTCCACCGAAAGCTCCAAACCCTAAACCCATAACCCTCTGAACCCTAAACTCCTAAACCCCAAGTCTCTGAACCCTAAACCCCTAAACCCTAAACCCCTAAACCCGAAACCCTTGTACTGAAGCCCAGGCGTCCTCGGTCTCCCCTGTGCCTGCCGCCTCCACGGCTGCCTCGAGGCGCAGGACTGGGGGATGATGGTTTAGGGTTTAGGGTTTAAAGGGTTTTTTTTTTTTTAAAAAGTGCAGTAGCCCCTTTTCCAGCAGAGTTCGAGCTTGCTCAAGATTGAGCATGCACTGTAAAAAGGCCTCTCTCACAAGACACCCTCATACTCTTCATTCTCCCAAGACTCAGAGATCACGACTACGACTTCTTTCGCGACGTCCCACAATATCCGAAGCAGAGGATGCCCTCGTGGTTGCCGCTTGTGAAGATGCCGAAGCCGCAGGTTGTGAAGAAGACTCCAACGTACTATCTGCCAAGGCATTCTCAGGCATGTTGATCTCCGCTGGCACGTTGATCTCTGCTGGTGCTGGATTAGCAACACCCGGCGATGTCGTCAACCTTGCCTGAGGAGAAGCACTGGAGTGGCGAGCTTCAACAGGATCTGGCCGAAGGCGCACTGGACGACGAGGCTGATGTCCACGACGGCGTCCACTGCGTCCAGGTCGTCCTCGTTGTACATGTGGGATGTAGGGCTGTTCCGCCACCACTGGCCAGTTGCCCACCTCCACGTCTTCGCGATTCTGCAACAGCAAGAGGCGGCGATCATCCTCAGACGGCCAGTGTCCTTCGGGAACATTTCGACCACTTGCTTGGTACAGAAGTCGGACATGCTGTCGCCAGCCTCGACGTCGAAACCCAGCCACCGTGTGAGCCCCCTCATTCGGAAGAAATGCTTGATGTAATTCATCCAGAGACGTCGGGAGGTCAGGCTGCAGCAGGAAGGCCGGGTCTATCGCAGGCATCACCGCCGAAGGAGCCGAAATCGACGAGTGGTGTTGGGCTTGTTCCGTGACCATTCGCCAGATTTCCAACTCCATTGACCGAGCATTGTATGGCACGGCATGGATCGGGAGGCGAATCCACTGTAAGGCCTCCTCGAGTGCGACTGCAAGAAGGCGGTCACAGTGGCGCAGATGTCGTTGCCTATCCATGATTCGGCGCATGACATCAATGCTATCGACCATATTGCCTTGCACCAGCTGCGCCGCCACGGCATCACGAACGTTGTTCTCCGGAGACACGGACGAGGATGTGGAAGTGGTGGTCGTCGACGATGCCAAAGTCATCAACGTCTGTAGATCTCCCCCCATGGAGAGTTGAACCAGTCCAGTATCTTCATCATCATCTGGCGGAGGGCTTCGCCAAATTCCTTGTGGGCTGAGAGGAGCAAGGTTGCGCCGAGGTGCACGAGTGGATGACTCACTGCTTGAACTGGCCGAGGAACTGGGAGGGTCGTAGCGTACCGGTTGCGGTGGTGGTGGGCCACGCGGCTGAGCTCCAGGAGGAAGGTCAGCTGGAAGAATTTCAATCATGTCCCCCTGGGAGTTGAGCGCCCACGTACTGTTCATACTGGGTCCACCATCACTCATATGCTCAACGGCTTGTCCATCGACCCCTCCAGAAAGGGCAGGGTCACCTCCATGATGACCAGAAGAGTCCGCCACATTCTCGTCGTCCTCCTCGCCAGCAGGAGTGGTCGGCACGACATCCTCAGGCGTTGACGGTACAACAACATCCGATCCTTGGGCTTCAGTCTCCCCAGGTTGTAGCGGAGTGTTCAAGTGGATCGAGGCGGTGTTGAGGTACGCGTCGATTCCTTGTCTAGACCAATGGAAGATTCTCCAGCGAAGATCCTCGCGTGCAGGTACTCGACGAACTGGTAGGTATCCTCGTGGAACCACACGTCTCGCCAGGATCTCCGTGATCGTCTCGAGGGCATCGATCGCCTCAGAGGCTCTTTGGATGTGACATCCCAGAGCCCATCTACTTTCGGGTCCAGTGCCGGCCGTTTGGTGGCGGTCCATCGACTCGAGTAGATCAGCTATACGCTGAACTTCCCTGCGCGGGACTCCTTGTTCCGAGAGTCTCTGCCTTTCAGCACCTGTCATAGACATTGACATATTCCCAGGTGGCGGAGCAGGCCGGACTTCGGGAAAGAGACCTGCATTGGGAACCACGATCGGCCATGTTGTAGAACTGGTTGTCACTCCTCCCGTGCTGGTTGCTGTAGTAGTCCAACCATCCCAAGCATGCCACTCATCCCATTGTTCCTGGGTCCAGCCGTTCCCCTGGGTCTCCATGTTCTCGACCGGTGTATAGAGCTCCGGAGTCAGGTTGGTCACTTCAGCCACAACGTTTGTACCTGCAGAGCTGGCCGTAGACGGAGTCACTGAAGACGAGGCGGGTTGTTGCTCGGGTCCCGTCAAACTCTCCCAAGTGGGAGAAGAATGGCTGTCGCTGGAGGTTTCGTCGTGCAGTTGGCGGGCAACATCTCGCTTGGCTTTGTCTTGACCATATTGACGAAGCCAAGCCGGTCGCCATTCACCTCGAAAGTAGGACTGCATCCTTGCCTCCCGTCTCAAGGTACGTCTCATACCTCTCCCGCCTTGATGCGAGCGTAACTCTTCAGGGTTTCTGGGACGGGAAAAGAAGACACCGTGCTTCCAAAATCCCACTGTGGTGGCTCCAAGATCAGGAGGTGTATCACTGTCATCTTGATCATGCCCGGTATCACCAATGTCCTCCTCAGTGCTTTCAACCACCACACTTTCAACGGAACTCTGCGGTCCATCTGTCTCAGAGGTGGTCTCGCCCGCAGTGGTTGAGTCCAACTCCGCTGGCTGACCAGTACCCCAAACCTCCTGTAGTGCTATTCGTGCTACTTAATAGTGCCCGAAGGCTGTTTGGCATACTTTATTGGTCTTTGTTACTCTTTCCTGCTTTGCGGCTACTTCTTAAAATATTCGAGCGCTTCTTGGTTTTGAGGGTGTGGGCTTCGTATGCTGACTTCGAGAAGCCATTTTGGCTTAAATATCACGATACCGAAACCTTCGACTTCATGAAGTGCGCCCCCCCCGCTGGTCTGTGTGCTTGCTTGCTGGGCTTTTGCTGCAGCTGGCCGGGATCGTGATGAGCTGCACTGTACCTGAGCTGTGGCAGGTACTTGTGCTCGACTTTGGCCGGGCTCGTGGTGCTTTCCATCGGTTGGTGGGGCTGTCACGCTTACGGTGCTGTGGTGTGTCATTACCGGTAAGTGCTTGCAGGGTGCTTGCATTCCAAGTGCATGTGTATGTGAATGCTTTGTGATGCCGACAGCAACCATCAAGATCATCAAATGTGAAGTGCAACGTTCGTGCATAGGGATTCTAGCTAGCATGCTGTACATGCAAGTGTTTGTCCCTATCCTGGTCTTTTGCAAGGGAACATCACGTAAAGTTTGTATAAGTAGCTGCTCGCAATTATGGCATCTGATGCACCAGCTTCGCCGGTGCCTGCGCCTGTGACGATGGATCCTGTGCTCTGGGCTTGGGGCTCCAGTGAAGAAGTCATGACTCGACTTGCCACGGGATCTGGCTCGGTTTTGGTGATTACAAAGTCTTTGAACCGCGAAGCTGTTGTCGCCAACTCGGTCCTCCTTGGGCCTCTGATGAAGGAACATGGTACCTTGTTACTCAATCATTTTGCAGGCAATATCTGTGCGCCCCAGAATTGGCCTGAAATTCTTGTATAAATACTAGATAGCTGAGGCATGCGACCAACCGTCGACCTATGCTTGGAGTACTTGGTCCGGTTCTACAGTGGGTACCGGCCAATCTCTAGGCCCATGCCACCCCGAGACTTGTTTGCATGCTAAACATCATGATGTGACCAGCTTGGTCGGGCTTACTAACCTTTTGCATTGGTCCTCACCTTGAATGCTTCCGCAGGCTGCGACCTCAAAACCGAAGCATGGATTCTACGCAGGCTTGTGAGCGTGTTCTCTAGAGCCGCCAAGAGACCACATACTCCTCGCAATCCACGCTTTCGCCAACTCTTTGCTGCTGCCGGAATCCAACTCCCTGCAGGAGACTATGTAGTGCTTATGCCTGAACGCTTACGTGGTAGCAGTGGTAACTTAGCTCAGATGATGTCGTGCATTGCAGGAGCTGACGATGGCTCCACCAGCTCCGATGACTCGGACTCGACCGAGGACGACGAGTCTGATGAAGAATCTGAGAATGAAGGTGATGGTGGTGTGAGGGATGCACCAGCTGCAGCAGATGCTGCAATGGAAGCAGATGATGTTAAAGATGATGACGATGTGGATTCTGACCTGGAGAAAGTGCCTGGGGTTGCAGTGATTTAATCTACAACATGATTAAAACCCTAGCTTCTGGCTTTTCGAGAAAACACACATCCCAAGGTATTGCATGGTCCTGTTGCACCTAGGCCATGACATTGTCGATGCAAAAGCTGCCGCCCCCGCCCCTCGAACTTCCTATTGAGCCTCGGGTCCTGAATCTTGCTGGTCTCTTGGCTACAAGTACTTTATATTGGTTATGCATGCAGTTACCTACAAGCTGCAATACTATACCGGCCCAAAGTCTCCGAATGCTAGGTGCCGCAGCCTCTTCCGAGACTTCTGCAACGGAGATCGTGACACCTTCGCCCAAGACTCGCGAGCTGCACGCATTAGGATTGGGACGTGCTGGTTTGGGTTCATGTACAAGATAAGCTGTTTGCTGCTGGGTGGCAATCAGGTCATGAGCCCGAGTCGCCGAAATCGCCACAATCCCTTTACAAGTCCTGGGGCTTACACTACACGGTCAAGGACACGAAGCTTGGGTACCTGTGTTTGAATTGCAATCGCAGTCATATGGACATTGGTGTGTTCAAGCTAGAGAACTGTCCTGCCGGCCCTACGTGGAAGAAAGCCAAGCCTGAACCCACCTCTGCACCTCCACCTTTGAAGCTTGAAGCTGCAAAGCCCTGTATCACAGCTGACGCAGAGATTGCAGCTGCATTGCAATTGGAGCAAGCAGAGCTGGAGAGGCTCAACACGCTTCAGACACTCATGGTGGAGCAACAGCATTTGGAAGGCCTTCTTGCCCAGATGCAGGGCCAGGTCGAGGCCAAGCAGGCCCAGGTCCGGGCCAAGCAGGCCCAGGCGCACAACCTTCCATGTGATGTGGAAATGCCACCAGCATGCCACTTGTCGGTCATGGTGAAATGCAGCAGTATGTGTGTGCATGTTCATATACCAACATGGGGCTGTGTCGGTCAGGGTGCTTTGGGTCGAATGGAGTTTAGAAGCTGAGGCATGGATGCTGTGGACACGTGCCCTATGGATATTATGGGTCTTGACTTTGCCCTTCCAGAGCCGCTGGTATGTGCAACAAAGGGCTCTGATGAAAGCGAGTCAAGACTGATTGAGAGAAAGGCAGAGATTTCAGCGGCTGATGTTGCGGCTGCATTGACCTGTGACCCTCTCGTGTCCGAGCCTGCTGCCCCTCCCGCAAACATCGAAGCCGAAGCCAGTGTATCGCTGCCTGCATGATAGTTGTGTGGATTTGGGTCTGGGTAAGTTTTGGCTTTCTTGCTTGTGGGAGTTGTGTGTTCTAGCAAGCTCGCATCTAACCAAGGCACCCGGGACCATGCTGTTGGAAGACTGCCCCATGGACCCTTCCAACATGGAGTTCATCTCTCCCGAGCAGCAGTCGGCAGGTCTCAGAGCATTGCCGGATGCTGAGGTTGAGGACACTGTTGCCCCCAAGAAAAAGCGTGGTGGGCGAAAGGGAAAGGGCAAAGGAAGGGGCAAGGGCCGGGGGAAGGGCAAGCGCCACGGTGGCCGCAAGGTGCTGAAGAAATCGAAGGGTAAGACAAAGGCGAAGGCAAGTGCCCCATCCGAGGCTGAGGACCGGGATACGCTTATGGAGCCTGGTGACAATGAGTCAGGGCCTGACGACGCCACGGAGTACTATGATCCGGATGCAAGAGCAAGCTCCGACTGCCCGCCCGGTGGCAAGAGATCTGCTAAGAAGAATAACAAGGGGCGGCCGAGAGCCAAAGCCGGTGCCAAGGCATCGGCCAAGGCCAAGGAAGCCAAGTGCAAGGCCAAATGCAAGGCCAAGGCCAAAGCAAAAGCAAGAGCAGCAGCAAAGGGCAATGACAAGGTGCAGAAAGCAACAGCAAAAGCCAAAGCGAAGACCAAGGCAAAAGGAGCAGCCAAGGGGCACACGGAGGATGCAGACAAGGATGAGGGGGCCCCGAAGCCGAAGCAAGCCAAGCTGACCACGGAGCAGAAGCAAGCGAAAAGCAGGAAAAGTGTTGCATATCACCATGCCCGCAAAGCAGCCCTTGAAGAGGGAAAGACCGAGGAGGAGGCTAAGCTGATTGCCCAGGCTGTTTTTCCTATTGCAATTAGCAAATTTCTTGGGCACTGTGCATGTGAATGTGTGTTGTGGTCCCTAGTGTCGTGCTTGTTTGTGCGAATGTATATATGTTGCATGTGAAAGCTACATTCTACACCAGCTCTGTCAGCATCTGAGGCTTACAAGGCTCAGGATTGATATCATCTGGCGACAAAGCCGCTGCTACTGATTGCATGTTGCAGCTGATGTGATGGTGCTTGAACAAGCAGGGTTTTACACAAACTCGACATCTGTTTGTGTGGGGTAGGGGAGCCGGTGTCGTATGGGCATCGGTGATTTTGGTGTGTGAACACGCCGTGAGTTCCAAGTCCGACTTCCGACGGGGCTGCTCAGTGTCAAGGAGAGCCAAAAGGTTTGTTCAGTGCAGCCGCTTCTGATCTGATCACTGATCGTGCACCTACTAGCAGTTGCCACCTTTCACTTGTTGACGACATTTGGTAACTTGTGCAGATTTGCATGATCATGCATGAACCACACGCCAGGATGCCTCGTGGCCGAGAACGTGTGGAAGGATGGGCCGTGAGGTCCTCCATCAAAGGTGCGACCCCCCTCCCGCACAACTCCGAGCATGCACTTGCAGATCAGGGCTGAACTCTTGCATTGCATGCTGACAGATTCTGCCATGTTACGGATCGATTGAGCTTTGCCTGGTAACCATCTATCTGAACCCTTGAGTGCCATGCCAAACTCAGCTGGGTCGCTGGTGGTCAATTTGGCCCAACTTAGAGCGCCGAAAGACTGGGTCTCAGAATTGATCCCTCTGGTACTTTCTTGTGAACCTGCACTGCATGATGTGCTCCAACAGTACATCTGCCTAGGTCCTGATAGCAACGGCTACAAGCTTAGATTGTCTGAAACAAACCCCACCTGGGTACCCTATATCTAGATTGGCCTCTCCCAGGTGCTTCTTCTTCGGTGGACCCAAGGCCTCGACTTCGACACCGGGTTTCAGTTCCTAGAGATCTTTAGTGGAAAGGGGCATGTCACCCAAGCCTGGTCGGGTGCTTATTCTGCACATGAAGAGCTTGTTTGTAATTCGGTCTAGTGTGTACGGTATGCTCTAGCCGGGCAATTGATGAGGCACGAGGCTGGCTACAAAACAGCATCTTTTGACATTCTGTATGGTAACGAAATGGACTTCCTCAAGAATGGTGGCATGGCGATACTTGCCGACATTTGCTCGAGTTCTATACAATATTTGTGCACATGGGATACATACCGCCCCTGCTTGGGCCCTTCTTGATGGTCTACCGAGGCTAGCCTTGTGGATGGTGCTAAACTTGGCTCCTGATGGTCTGATGCTGGTCGGGACTGATTGCTCCAGTTGGTCTGTGTGTTCACGCTTTTCAAGCAAGCGGAACTTTATCAATGTCCGGGGAGATATGGCCAAATTGTGGGTGGAGAAAGGTTTTGCAATGGTCAGTCGGAACCCGGGATTCAATTAGATTTCTAGACTAGCTTTGTTGATCTATGCATGCACATGTTTCTTGGGTTATAGGAGTGGGATACTGCATCGAGCTAAGGACCGTGTGTCTGATATTGGTGTGCCTGAGTGTCCATGGAACATTCTGCTTGGAACAGCCGGCTCAATCACTACTGTTCCGACAGCCTCGATGGGAATGGTTAACGAATACCGTAGCCAGGGAGCCCTGGTTCAATAATATAGTTAATGATAGATAGGTAGTAATATATATAATATTAATATAATAATAATAATAATAAATAAAAAATATATATATATATATATATATATATATATATAATTTGAAAGGGGTTTCTGGGGTTCTGCCTAGGTTCTCCATGGAGCTAGTCGCTGCTTGTACACCCGCAACCCTGGACCCTAAGCTGTAAACCTTGCGAGGTCCTTTTGCTATTGCGGCTGTATATATATAAGCCCGAAACCTAAAGCCTAAACCTAAACCCCCAAAATCGTAACCCTAGCTGCAACAAAACCCGGGCCTAAACCCAAACTTACAAGCTTCCTAAACCTAAACCCTAAGCCGAAAGTCCTGCTTGCCCAGGTATATCGGGTGAGTCTATGGATGATGCTACATGGTGCACCATCACCAAAGAGGACGGTGCTTTGCAGCACAATGTCTACTGTTGGGGAATTAGACCTCGGTAAGCTGACAAAAGAAAAGCGCCTGCAGTGCAGCACAATCACCACCGCCCGTGCATTGGTTGCATTTCATATCCAAGAATTCGAAGGAACCTGCTGCTATTAACGATCACCTAGAAAGCCTATATAGTGTGTGTCTGCACAACTAAGGAAGGTTTCGGGATGCTGCCGGCAAAGCTAAATTCACTGGTACGAAACAACTACAGGAATCAGGGTGGCTATGCAGCATATAGTGTTTCGCTCTACTTGCAATGCAGTGAATAGGCCCACACATATGTGAGTGCAGTGAGGGTCTACATCGCCACGTTCGGCAAGAACCTGCTGAAGGCCTACGCTTCCTGGCTTGCCCGGCCTGCTGACGATCGTGCCGATCTTCGAGGGCGGCAAGTTGTAGACTTGTCCTTGTCGGACAAAGAGATCTTTCAAGGTCTGCAGAGTGAAGATGAGTGGGCCGAGAGTGGGATGCACGAGGTTTTTGAATACCTCTACCGTGGCACAAGACTTGTGTACCTTGACTTGTGTGATCAGCTAGCAGCAGTGGTGGGAGTAAGCATGAATCGAACTGCCAACATGTTTGCACTCCGAAGGATTCCAGACACCTGGCAACCCGTGATGGCAGACTACCGCACCGAGCTTCGTGGGAAAGCCCCCTGCAGGCATTGATGATCTATCACGACATATAGACCCAGCTAGGAATCATAAATAATATGTATAAAGTCATGTAGGTTCCCCTGCTGTGTTGCTGCCGGACTGAAACTCCAGATGTGAAGCTCCTGTACATTCCCGACACCCATAACTGCAGTAGTGCTGTCCCTCAACTCGAAGCCAAGGTGTTGGGATCTGACAACCTCCGCCGAGAGCTCTTCTCAGTGCAGGCAACTACCGGTGTGACTGAGTGCAGAAAACGTAGAAGGTGCCAGTAGGCACTGCATCGTATATGGCTAGCAGTACATATGGCTGTCGGCACATGCAAGTAGCTCTGTGCTCAACAAGTTCGGGACGAAGTGTCGGTACCGGGTTGGTGCTGTTTCCTAGGCTACTAGTTACACAGAAGAACCTCTGTAGGACCTATAAACCTAGGGACCCACAAACCCCGCAACCCACAATCCCTGAGCCATCTTACCCGCAACCCGCAATCCCAGCAACCCGCCGCAACACCCGCAACACCCGCAACCCTTGGAATCCTGAGCTTTCCCAGGCCCGAACCCTACAAGCCTAAACCCTCCTCTCGAGCCCTCTCTGGAGCCGGTTGCCTGGTGGCCGGTGGTCGTCCTGGGCCCAAATGTCTTCTGTAAAGGCGTTGGTGGGTGCTTTTTAGCTTTAAAGCGATTTTATGGTAGAATAGCAGAAACGGGTGCCCGCAATCCGGGCGCAAATCCCCACATCCCGGGCGCAAATCCCCACATCCCGGGCGCAATTATAATTAGTGTGCCGAGGCGACCCACCAAACCACAAATTTGTGCCTTAAGGCGCCAATTCAGAGCAAAGTTGCACAGCTTGTACAGATAGGGCTGGTGCTGTACACACAGGAACATTTCTGCCTGGTCTGTGTGAAAAGTATTTACTATCACTTGCTGACCCAAGGTCCTTGTGTGCCACTAGCATGTGCAGATTATATACACCTGTGATGGTTCGTGCCTGCCGTTGCATTTATATCTAGGATCCGTGATAGTGTGATGACATCTGGACCTTCTAGGCTGTGGTCCTGTTCCACCCTGTTTGCCGGGCTGAACCTCGTGAGTACGAACTCTACCGGGGAACCGCAAGCAACCATGGATATTGCCGCAATGATTCGTGCTTCACATCTGCACATCTAGCTAGCTTTGCAAGTATATACAATTCCCATCCTTACCACATCCCAGGCTTCGCAAGAACGAATTGCCAAGCTCCAAGCCCAACTGGCTGCTCAAAGTGGAGGAGAAGGAGATGCTGTTGTACCTCCAGCAGCTGTTGCAGGCTAACCCTAAGCTGGCCCTAAACCCTGAGCCGTAAACCCAGCCTAAACAGTCTTAGAAAAAAACTGGCATAGGTAGCATGCATATATAGTCCAAGGAAGGTAGCACACAGACCTTGGTGCCGATCATAAATATTTACAATATATACTTAACTTAACAATAAGATTAATCAATACCAATATGCAGGTGCTCCGATCTTGGCAACGACGGCCGAGCCTATGATCACGGGCAATGCTGTGCAGAGCCTGCCTGCAACTGTGTTGCAGACCCAACTCGGCAATGGTTCGATCACGACGACCGAAACCTCCCAAAGCCTAGGTTTGACCAGCTCGAGTGATGCCCCAGCCCCACCGAACCCTGCTGCAGGCATGCAAGTGTCGTCCCAGGATCGACAATCGGATTCGCTGCACACACCGCCGCCTGTGCACCATGCACCCAGCCCGGACAAAGTTTCGAGTAAAGCCGCAAGCCCAGCCAAAAGCACAGCTCTGAATGCAGCCCCAAGCCCAGCCAAAGGCCCAGATCCGTGTGCGACCCCAAGCCCAACCAAAGGCATAAAGAGGAATGCCAGTGTCTTGAGTTCCAAGCCGGACGACCACGACTCATCTAGCTCTCCGGCAAGCACGATCCGCCCACGCAGCAAGTGCCCTACATATTGGAGGTTTCCTGTACGCAGTATGATGTACCTGCAGCCTCCAACAAGTGCTTGCCCAGAACTGTGCCTATCTCAGGATGTACAGATACTTTACTCCAAAAAAGGACGGCTCCTTAAAGTGCAGCCCGGAAGCCCTGGAACTCTACAAAAGCGAAACTGGCAGTGCCCTGGCTTTGCTCTATAGTCTCAAGTATTGACAACTGGACTTGTGCATATGATGCATACTAACCTTGAGTGCTTC